TACCTTTATATAGTTTTCAGATAGAAAATTACACTTATACGCTTGTTATAAAAAGCTGCTACTATTTTGGTATTTAATAGACCATAAATAAGTCGTTTTCATTTACAAAGAAATATAATTATCATACTTGTACGATAAATCAACACATTACACTTTCATGATCGATAAGCGTCCAATGTGTTCCACTGTACTTTCATCAAATCTTTTTAATACTTTTTTCGTATATTGCATAATTGATTTGAATAATCTTATTCGAACGTTATTACGCATGAGATTCATTGCCATAATTTTGATAAAGTTTCGGACTCTCTTGTGCCGAAGCTTGCTCATTTGCTACTATCGAATTTGTTACATTAATATCAACATTCTCCTCCGCGGGCAAAATCTCTTCTAAGATGGTCTGTTTATCTCGTAGTACAGGTGCTACGAAATTCTGACCTGCCGATAAGTCTCTTTTATGCACTTGTGCCTAAAATAATTAAATCAGATGCTCATATTGCGATAGATAAATAATATAATAAATTCGAAGAAATGTAACTAGTCTACCTTAGACTTGGACGAAGGCAAAGTGGCACCAGTCACGAGACCCAAAATACTTGCAGCGAGACCACTGAGTTGTACCGCAGCTAAAGGCGATAGCCCTCTTCTTACTAAACCTAAAGCCAAGAGCGCAGCCTGAGCCAAAATTGGTGCGGCTCCGGTAGCGCTTGCCGCTGCTCCGGCCAGTTGACCACCACCAACGCTTGGTCCATAGGCAAAACATAAGTTATGCCTATCCACCTAAATACGATATAAAAATATAATTTATTTATTACTGTTACTCGGATCATCAGTCTACGAATGAATCGTTCAGACGTACCAAATGTTTCACCACAAGATACAGTAGTCCGAAGGGTGTAATTAACGGACAAGCTAAACTGTACACTGTCGTCATAGTAAAGACTAAGAGTAGCCAGGCATAATGGGCACCTAAGGGAAACTCCCATAATACTGCCTTTCTAACGTGTATTCTTTCAGCTCTGCTACGAGCTACACACAATCTGAATGTATATAAAGCTAATTCAGGAAATCTTACTAATTCCAATCCACTTCCAAGTAAAGCTGCAGTAATTACGTAGTTTACGAATAAAGCACCCTAAACAGTATACGTATATAGATCTATATAATTTATATAATTTCATAAATCATTCTGCAATTAATTACCTGGTCAGGTAGAAATACACAGTCCCATCTCCCTGTATCATTGGCTGCGTTTACAGTCCATTCTAAAAATGCTTGTGCACTAGTTAAACCTAGACTAGGTAATATAAGGACCATCAGTAGTAAAAGAAGTAACGTTTTTGTCATCACTGCTCGATTTAGACTGCTCCTGGTCCAATGTCTAACTAACGATTCGCTTCTTGCTACTAGCACGGGCATTAAAGCGGCCACGCTAACTAGTAATACAGTTGGAAGGAAAGACGAAACTACTGGGCTGAGATTCATAATCTCCCCTGTGATCGGCAATTTATTTAAAGCAGATACTATTACCTGCAATAACGTGTCACGAAAATATTACAAATCTTTAAGTATGTAGTCATTGAAATTCTCAAGTTACTTACAAATGGTGTGGTAAGAAAAAATAACACAATGCCTAGAGCGAAGTTTATTAAAACAGCGTTCAGATACCAGCATGGTCGTGGTATACTTAAATTTTCCCAAAAGATGTCCGACGGTGTAGGTGCATAATTTACGACCCATTTTATATTAGGTAGAGTTGATAAATACTTGCGCATTGCTTTAGCCGCGCCGGGTGTACCTAAATTATTATTTCATTATAGTGACTTCACAATGTTTACATATATATATATATATATATGATATACACATGAGATTATAAAAAACAGACCTAAAGTTACAAAAGCTACTCCAAGAGGTCTGCTCAGCGCTACTTTCTTTTCTTCTTCAACCAACGCAGTCAATCGGATTTCTTCGTTAGTATAAAATTCTTGCGCATCAACTTGCTGCGCAAAAAAGAAACGATATATTTTATTTATTTATTTACGATAATTTTAATTTTAAAAGGTACGTACATTTTTACAGCAACAGCCTATCACTTGGCCGCATGGATACGGATACATTTTCAATGGTTCTCTTTTTCGTGCATAGTTTTCGCAATATAAACTGGCTTGTTCGGCACAATCTCTTGCTGCATTTAAAGCGGAAAGCCGTCTAATATCGTAGGCTAATGTAATATCTTCCACCGTCAAAGTTGGAAATACTTGTCTGTATAAAATAATATTACGAAACGAAATAAAATTACAGAATAATTTTCATTGTGCCAAACACGAATTTACATACTTGAAGTATTCGGTAAGAACTTGCACGTTGCATTGTTGCTTTGAAATTTCTGTAATTAATAACGTCCTTGCTGCTAGTTCGCCACCATGCCTTAAATCACGTACCTATGACATACATATCTCAACAAGAAATTGTTTCTATTATTATTATTACGGTGACAGACTAATTGTGATTTTTTTATACCTTTTTCAAGAAATGTCTCATGATGTATGCGCCGACTGGTAAGTAGGATAAAATTAAAATTGTATGCACCCAAATCCACGTAGACATTGGATCTAAATTAGACAATGTTGTGTGACCAAATGTTGCAGTGTCGCCTTGCATATTGCCATGAAAATTTATTGGTAAAGCTATACATAATGATACAGCAACCATTAAGCATGTTACGATGATTAAGTGTCGTTCAAACGATATATACAATAAACCATCTGGCCCTGCACGTGTTAACAGTTCTTCATCCCTAAAATTATAAAATATCATTCCAAGTATTATTAATATATTCTTTGTAATTATATACACTTAATAATAGACAAATTGGATTACTTAATGATTTATTATACTCACGTAATTCTAAATGCAGTAATGATCCATGACAAGAAACCTCTGTCGACTTGTGACAGTTGAGAATTAACAGAAGTTTCAACGCACAGAGCATCAGTATCCCTGCCTTCATTATTTCCATAAAATAATTCCATCCACCTTTCATCCGTTTTATTTACTAATGCAAGACGTCCATAGTTCCATGCTTTTTTACGAAGTAAACCAAACAAAATAACAAGGATCTATAACGTATCGCGATAACGAAATTATTAATAATATCATTATTTCTAACGATATACATACAGAAATATCTTTGGAAAATCTTACCAGAAATCCAAAAAAGTTTAGCAATAAATTCTCAGGAATGCCTGCATATGCATCGGTTATTATTGTTGTATTATGCCTTGGGACAGGAATACATTTATCCGAAGATGGTGTCTCCCCTTGGCTCGACCTATCATTTAAGTAATAATCATTTTTTGCATACATTTTCTTTGTTTAGATTAGAAATATACTTTGCACAATGACATGCCTCTACAGTAGAAAACTGAACTATTTCTGAACGTGAAAACGAAAGTATAATTAATTATTACACAACAATCTTAATCCTTTACCATTTATTACTTCTGTATTTTTGTTTTTAATATAAGTGTATCAGACTGTCGTAAAACAAAGGACAAGTAACAATAGCGTACAGTGTTGAAATGCGAAAGGTAAACTTGGTATTTGTACGAATTTTACACAATGTCAAAAAACGCAGCACTAAGATTGTATTTTTCAAATTGTTACACTTTTCTACTTACTGGTAATATACGTAGCCCATACTCGTTGAACTATTTCTATAAACGTACGGTTAGATAAATACAAAATCGCATATCAACAAATGCGTGTCAATTTGACACATTATATGTATGTATGTATGTATGTATGTATGTATGTATGTATGTATGTACGGTACGTAGAGTACGTATATAATACACTGTTAACAACACGGTTACTGGTTATGCTACCAAAGTTTAGCAACTGCAATTGTATGTATCGTATGTACGTAGCCATGTAGCATACCAGAGAGGTTATAGATCCATCCGCGTCAATCGTAACCAGAGTTCAACTAAAACAATTAATTATGACAAAGATAAAACGTCTCTGTTTTATCAAGGTTTTATCCCGATTCTATCATGTATTTCATCACAAGTTTTGTAAATGTAGAAGCTGGCTGTCCCGACACATATGGTGACAGCACTGACGAGACGCTAATGATGACGCTAATGATGACTGGTAATACTGATAAAGAATAAATTCCTTTGATATCAGATTTATTTGAAATTAAACATCTGACAGCAATTAATCATTACAATTTAACAAGTCAAGTGCGTCAATGAATAAATATACATTGTAAAATATAGAGAAATTGAATGTTTTAATTTAAGAATTATTCCAGTTTTTTTTTTACTATAATTGTACAAGTCTGTTAGTTAAAATACGTTTCTGATCTAGGATAATATATATTTAAACTCAGTAGTCATTTATAAATACAGACTTTTATTTGGCACAGATACAATTAAATTGTATCTGCATAATGAGAAATAGATGTGTAATATACATGTACAATAACATTCACATTTTAATGGCATTTACACATGATTAATTTATGACACAAACCATTATTTTCCAAATGTAAAAAAATGTCATTAGTTACATGATTTCATCAGCGTTCACGAGTGTCGATACTGATTGTATGACTGCAATTCACCTGACGTAATGCAATCTAAAATCCAAGTTTCTTTCAACCCTCCTGAGCCAACTAGAATTTTAGCTGTTTCTGGATTATTAGTAATACAACCACCTGCTGCTTTTACAAGATCTATCAAAGCATCAAATGGTATTTTCGTGGTCTTCTCAATGTACATGGGTCCACAAGCAGTGAACAACTCTGGTATATAAGACTTCCCAAACAGTTGTCTATCTTTACGATTCTCCTACCAAATAAATGATTAAATTAGTGCTATTACGCAGTTACTTCACTGTTTCCCTATTACGAATACTTTTTAACTCTGTATCTTATTTACCGATACTGCTTTCGAGAAATGTGCCATCTCATAATCTTCTGGTATTAACCATTCTTTGCTTTCTAAAGACTTTAAAACCCACTCGAGGCCGACCAACCAACAGCCTCTTATTATGCCATGCAATAGATTTATCGTTCGCACGCCCGTCGTTACTACGTGTGTTGTATTTTTTGTAACATTTGGCTCAATCTTTGCAGAACCAAGAGCTCGAACGACGCTTTTAACTAGACTTTTATCTCTATAAGAACATGACGAACATCTATGATAATTAAAACTAAAAATAGTTGAAATGTATCGACAGCGGTGGAACAATAGTCGTATAATTTATATGAATGAAAAATGTATCTTACTCGTTAGATAAGCCTGTTGTAACGATATATAATCTTTGCGTTCGTTTCTTCTTTGATACTCTCCGCGATTGAAAATCGTTTGAACTCCCATTTGGGGCACAAACATTTGCTATTTCCGGTTTACAATTCTCCGTATTTTCACTTAATTTCATTAAAATGTCTTTATCAGCGATCTTTTTAACAATAATCTTTTTACTGATTACTTTCCTCGGTTTTCTTTGTGTTTTCTTTTCCTTATCATGACTTAAGTCAAGTGCGTCAATGAATAAATATACATTGTAAAATATAGAGAAATTGAATGTTTTAATTTAAGAATTATTCCAGTTTTTTTTTTTACTATAATTGTACAAGTCTGTTAGTTAAAATACGTTTCTGATCTAGGATAATATATATTTAAACTCAGTAGTCATTTATAAATACAGACTTTTATTTGGCACAGATACAATTAAATTGTATCTGCATAATGAGAAATAGATGTGTAATATACATGTACAATAACATTCACATTTTAATGGCATTTACACATGATTAATTTATGACACAAACCATTATTTTCCAAATGTAAAAAAATGTCATTAGTTACATGATTTCATCAGCGTTCACGAGTGTCGATACTGATTGTATGACTGCAATTCACCTGACGTAATGCAATCTAAAATCCAAGTTTCTTTCAACCCTCCTGAGCCAACTAGAATTTTAGCTGTTTCTGGATTATTAGTAATACAACCACCTGCTGCTTTTACAAGATCTATCAAAGCATCAAATGGTATTTTCGTGGTCTTCTCAATGTACATGGGTCCACAAGCAGTGAACAACTCTGGTATATAAGACTTCCCAAACAGTTGTCTATCTTTACGATTCTCCTACCAAATAAATGATTAAATTAGTGCTATTACGCAGTTACTTCACTGTTTCCCTATTACGAATACTTTTTAACTCTGTATCTTATTTACCGATACTGCTTTCGAGAAATGTGCCATCTCATAATCTTCTGGTATTAACCATTCTTTGCTTTCTAAAGACTTTAAAACCCACTCGAGGCCGACCAACCAACAGCCTCTTATTATGCCATGCAATAGATTTATCGTTCGCACGCCCGTCGTTACTACGTGTGTTGTATTTTTTGTAACATTTGGCTCAATCTTTGCAGAACCAAGAGCTCGAACGACGCTTTTAACTAGACTTTTATCTCTATAAGAACATGACGAACATCTATGATAATTAAAACTAAAAATAGTTGAAATGTATCGACAGCGGTGGAACAATAGTCGTATAATTTATATGAATGAAAAATGTATCTTACTCGTTAGATAAGCCTGTTGTAACGATATATAATCTTTGCGTTCGTTTCTTCTTTGATACTCTCCGCGATTGAAAATCGTTTGAACTCCCATTTGGGGCACAAACATTTGCTATTTCCGGTTTACAATTCTCCGTATTTTCACTTAATTTCATTAAAATGTCTTTATCAGCGATCTTTTTAACAATAATCTTTTTACTGATTACTTTCCTCGGTTTTCTTTGTGTTTTCTTTTCCTTATCATGACTTTTTTTCTTTTTTATCATAGAACGTTCTCCAGTGTTACCAGAATTACTTTTATTGTATTTATTATTTTTCTTCTCCCTGAATTGTTTTCTAAATGTTAATGAACGAGGAAATGGGCATTCGTTTTGTACTGGAGTAAATGATACTAATTTTGAACATTCATGCAGAGGTAATAGTTTTCTTTTACCTTTCTTTGCATTAGGTACTGTTATTGAATCTTTTATATTTTCATTCCTTTCTGTCTCAATTTTATCAGTAGTTTCATTGACAATGGAAGATGAGGTAGTTGTTCCATTCTCATTACAGTTGCTATCAATTTTTTCTGAAGTTACTTCATCCTGACTCGTTCTTTTATGACTGTTTGTTCTTTGGTCATCCAAATTGTTCTTCCCTGTATTGTTAGCATCACAGAAATCTAGTATTTTTATACTTTCTGTTGTAGAAATTTTCGTTGTATCAATATTGATATTATTTTGCAATTGATTTGAAGTATAAGACGTATTCATTTGTAATGAAGTACGAACGGTATCCGTACTTTCTTGCATAAGGCTTGAAACTATTGAATGCCTATTTCTTCGTTTATTTTTACTAATACCATTTTTGGAATCCTCTTGTTTACATCTACTGCTATTCTTACTGTTTATTACATCAACAGACGTATTAACATTTAAAGAAGTTCTCACTGTGTTTACACTGTCTGTTTCAATTGCTACTGTTTCTTTACCATACACAGATTGAGCTACTAATTCGTCACTCACTTGTTGAGGTACTCGGATTAAGTGATTAGATTGACAATTATTTCTTAATACTTCCTGTATGGAAGTATGAGCAGGATGCTCATTATCTTCTTCATCTGATACATTATCATCTATCATAGTAGAACAGCCGATTGGTACTTCTGTGAAAGCACTTTCAGAAATGCTTAAAATAGAAGATTGAGACAATCTATTTCTACAGATGATGGAGCAATCGAGCTTGTCATTATTTGTTTCCTTAGAACTACACGGTATTTCATCTATTTCCATCAACATAGGATCGTTATCATTGCTTATTCTACTTCTTAATTGTGCTAATTCTTTTGAAACATGAGATACCAAATTAACATTTTCACAAACATTCAAATGTTCTTCTAGATCATAAATCTTTCTTAATATTCCTAGACCATTTGTTCTTTTCAACTTCTTATTTCGACATGTAGTTTTTGGTGTATTACAAATATCTTGATTTGTATCATTTTTTCCATTATTATGTTCAATTATATCCACAGCGTCCGCTATTTTGGTAGACAATCTATTCTTTAAAGAATTATTACTTGAAAGATTAGGTTTTATCGTTGACGTTACAGATGTTTCGACCAATTTGTTTTCTTTATTTGTATCTATTCTTTCTAAAACAATACTGACATTTTTCAATGGAATTCCATAAGAAGTTATATTATTCACATCAAAGTCAAGTGAATCATTCCCAGAATCTGTTAAGTTTGAAGCACAACTTAAATTCACTTTCAATGAACTTCGTGGACGCCTATAACTAGTATTTGCACTGAGAACATCAAACCTCTTCTTTTTGTTTTTCATCATTTGTGTTTCATATTCTTTTCATTTTGTAATTATGGAACTTTACAAATTCAGCTCCCGAGTGCTCATGCCTTTATTTTGAAAATTTGGCCACAGCTAGACCAGTTTATATAAAATTATTGCAAATTATGACCACGAACAACAGCCACTAACCAAATGTGGTTTTATTTATCCATAATACAGTTGCGCCACCAATTTACGCGCCTCAAACTAGTCGGAAGGATAAGTATTTACTTTGCTGTCACAATCAGATGTTCGTGTTTACGAAAATCAATGAAAGATAGTAACCGAGTGCAAGTGATCTTATAATTGTAAAATATGGAAACTGCCGAGCAAGAATCTCACGATGATAATTATTATTTAGAATTGTCTTCGGATCCGATCAGGTTTGAATCGGTCAGTAGCCTTACGAATGTTTTTTTCGATGACTCGAAACAACAGGTTCGAAATTTATTTATTCTATCTACTAATTTTGCGATGAAACATTGTAGTACACCAATGTTAATCCCGTTTGGTAATCAGGTATTTGCGGTTCGATCTGGAGGTGTAACAGGTGTACTAGTTAAAGGGCCAAATCAAAATATAAATTTTCGAATGGAAGACAAGGGCCCGGTAATTTCCATCAAATTTTCACCAGATATGAATATATTGGCAGTGCAACACAACAATTTTTCTGTCGAGTTTATCAATTATTCTCCGATAACTGGATTGGACAATATAGAATATTCACAGTCGTGTAAAGGAAAAAATGCCACTATACTAGGATTCGTTTGGACACATGGAAATGAAATATTGCTTGTTACTGACTATGGTGTCGAATTGTTTCAAGTAAATAAGCAAATGAATATTGCATAATCTATTACTTTACTTGTATCACAAAAGCTTTTTAATGTTTTAGATAAATCCCGAGAAGCGTACTGTCAGGGTTTTAAAATGCTTAAGTTTAGGTGTTAATTGGTTTGTATTCTGTCCACAAAGTTATTTGGTACTGTTATCATCTGGTACAATAGGAAATCAAATGCAAACACTACATGTAACACCTGGGAATCTTCATAAATTAACAAAATTCGAAGGTATCGCTTTATTTATCATTTATGTTAGCTGTAAAATTGTTGGTTTTATACAAAAAAGTGTTTGTGAACTCAGTGGAAGCTGGCGCAACGAAACAAGGCAAATTGGCTGTGTACGAAAGGGATGTAGCATTGGCTGTTGTATACGGGATGCCTTGTATTATTTTGCTACGTCATCAAGCAGGTACTAACCGTTCGACGGGTACTGCGTCTGTACATGTATATACAGTGCATAAGTATGCTGATCAATTTAAAATTAATGCATCGAATATGTTTACCATGTATTTCATTCTATATATTTTTTTAACCAGAATGACCACGATTAAAAGGAGCCATATTTTGAAGCTTGATGTGAGCGGTAAATTTGCAATTAACGTTGTAGATAATCTTATTATCGTTCATCATCAAACTACAAAAGTACGTAAGGTATTGCGCGTTGACAGAATAAAGTACTCGATAACTATGTCGAGGGCCAGATTAATGAACAGACTGTAGATTTGTAGCCTGTTTATTTTTTCAGACCTCAATGATTTTTGACATCATGTTACCTGGTGTGAGTGACGGAACCGTAATGCATCATACTAGTGTAGCACCGGCAAAGTCGATCAAACCTTATAGTTTGAAAGTTCCAGGAAAGACACTATCGAATCAAACCTATGAACCGTGTCAACTATGTATCCTTGACTAAAAATGCAAACATCAACATTCCTATATTCGTTACTGTCCCTTAATATTCACAGATTCTCCAAATTGGGTGGTATTTCAGCCAAACATAATAATTGATGCGAAATTGGGTTGCCTATGGTATTTATCGCTTTTCCTTCACCTTTTTCTATCAATGTCCTCTTGTGTATATACCTCTCGGTTCAGCATGTTTAACGACTCGATCGTTTTAGGTATATCGAATTGAAGTTAGACGTTTTGATAGAACTTATTACAGATAAAGTGTTGCTAGTTGAATTTTTAATGCAACGAACGAATGCGAAGCACATTTTGATACAAGTGTTACAAAATTTTATGATGCAATTGCCCGTAATTTTGATGAATATGCCAGTTATATTTGACAAGCTGAATTCTGTATATAGAAATTATTTGGAAAGTGAAATACAAAATCAGGTGATCACTTAATTTTACGTTTGTTTGTTTACTTGTTAATTATGGTGCTGATTTTCATTGTCTATAAATTGCTTCTTCAGATTGGTACCCCGGTGCAAAATAACGCCAAGAGTGTAAGCACTGCAGCGGAAAATTACAAGTATAAATTGGAACTTAATCAGAGCGACATGTACAGTCACATACTGTCAAAATTTTCTGAGAACACCATTGAACCAAAAATGATAGTATGGGTCCTCCTTGAGTACATCAGGTATTTGTTTTCTCATTTTTAGTCGTTTTCTGTCTGCAAATTATGTTAAAAGTTACGAGAAAAATATGTACACTTTATATAGTGTAGCGAACAAAAGGAGATGTGTAGCTGTTACGATTAAAACCGAGCTTAGGATGTTGATGGTTTTCCATTCTAGATCGCTGGCGGAACACGGTATACCGGTGCAGCATTATCTACATGAGTTGGTCATTACAACATTGGTTCAACGTAAAGCGTATTATCAGCTTCATCAGTTGCTGCAATATCATGTGGTTGCCGACTCAAAGCCTTTGGCTTGTTTGTTGCTGTCTTTAGAGAATCTCTATCCAGCTGCTCATCAACTCGCCTTGGACATGCTGAAGCGATTAGGAAACGCTCATGAAGAGATAATTGAAGTTCTCCTCTCGAAAGGACATATTCTGCCAGCGTTACGGTAAACAAATGATAAGGATAAAATACAATATAATAATGCGACTAATTTTTTTTTTATCTTGCGGTGGATTTATTTTCACAATTATTTGGTCATGTTTTCTTTCTTTTTCCCAATTTTTAGTTATGTTCGATCGGTCGGGATGGTCGAGCAAGTGTCCGACAGAAAATTTCTAGAAGCGGCGAAAGCGACCGGAGATGCGACGTTATTTTATTCGGTTTTCAAGTTTTTTAAACAACGTAGTTTGTGCAACGCTACAGCCTTTACCAAAGGGGAGCGCTATCAGCCTTACATTCAGCATTACAAACATTTATTTGAAGGAATGGACAACAGTAGTAATTCGGACACGAATTCCAACGACACCACGGTCTCCTCCGTTCTCCGCGCGATAAATTCGCAATTCGACTCTATCGTAACATGGAATAACACAGAACATATTTAAGAATTACAGCAGTTTACAATTGGAATGTTATTCAACTGTCTTGATGTTTTTATTTCATCTCCTGTATTTCCATTTGTAAAATATCTTATTCATATCGTGTACATCCTCGCACATACACGTCCGCATTTTTTTTTTCATTTATATTTATAATACATATGCAATACTTTACAGCGTTTTGTGCGACTAATACAATTCTTTTTAACTCTCGTCCAACGATTCCTGGATTGCTTTTGATCTAATACTCAACGCAATAGTAAATTTGATTCTTCGTATGTATTTGCAAGATATAAGCATAGGTAAATTACATATATGTCATCGGACAAAATGGTATCTCAAAAACCTTTTTGATTGGATTGTTTCGAATGAAATGAAACTTCGATATAGATAAAAAATGATCTGAATATCGTCGTTGAAGAGTGAAATGCATCATATTGCAGTACTTTTTAGTTTTGATGCACTTAATACAATACGTGTTACTTATGATATGTCAATGTGAAATACGATTTATGATAAAATAAGTATGCAATGATTCATTTTGATACGTTTGTGCACGATATGTATGATTAAATTTATATATGTATATATCCAAATCGAAAACGGAGAAAAGTTCTCATAACATTTATAAGAGAGTAAAAAATATACTCTCAATACGATCGTGCTCGTAGCTATTAGGGCAAATATCTTTTCTCACGGTTTCCTCAGTGATACTCGTGCCATACAACGATCGACTTTCGATTTCTAATATACAGTGAATTATTTTCACCAGATATACGCGCGTTTAAAATTACAAAGGACATTTGGTACACTCACACGCTCCACACACGCGCAATCATATGATACTTACAATTTTAGATAATCGAATCATATCTAATTATTTTAATAATAAATATTTAACGTACAAACGGACGGATAGAATGAAAATATAGAGAAAGAAAAGAAAAGTGAGACACAATTAGAATGGTACAGCGGGGATCGGAAAAGAGAGTAAACGAGTTAAGGGGTTGGTCCATCTTGTTTAAAGAATGTGGTGCAAAAATCGGAAAAAAGAAAGAACATTAAACACGTTTCGAAAATATCTTATCAAAACTATAGAAATGGTTTGGTCCTTTGTTTATAGTTAACATACATGGTTGAAACTGGTAAAATCTTTCGTCAACGCTTGGACTTTTATATTGTTGTCGTACATACAACGAACTACCGCATACGGGTTAATTGTATTACGATATTATATCACGATTCGTAATACTTTCATGTATCGAGTCAAATTTAATCTGTTCATTTCTTGCACTAACGTGTCCAAGAAGTTTTCAACTCTCTCGCGAAGTGCTGTCGAGAGAATTGAGATCATTCGGAAAATAGCCGAACAAACATGATTTACATTATATTTTACAACAGAACTCTATTTATTCCAAATCAATATAGCAAGCCAAATATGTATAGTGCACCGATTATGCTAAATTCATTTTTTATCCTGAATTTAAGTCCATGATTTAAGCATTGCCGATAAGCAGTAGCAAATTTTTGTTGCTTGAACTACTTAAGTATTCTCAGCCAAGTGAACCGTTTTGTTGCGATTGGCTCGGCTAAATCAATTCAACGGAGAGGTCGCGTTGGAGTCCTTGAAGTTACACAGCAGCATAACGAAATATACATATGTATGATGCTCGAATCCTGTTCTCCCCCCGCATCGTGCGACAGAGATCCTCGTCTTCATCCGCAATCAGAAAATCGACTTTTCACACGTTCTCTGTTCTATCCCGAAAGTTGTCCAATATTGGGATAAATTGAGTTCTATCGTATCGTTCCGTTTAGTGAGACACCGACAGAGGATTGAACGGTTACGTGCAAGAAATGTGGGCGAGAAAAAGAGAGAGGGAAATAGCGAGATGCAAAGGGAAGGAAAATGTAAATTACGAAATATTGCAGTCGTCTGTGTATGTGTCTCTGATTTGTTGTTTAGTTTTTCGTGAAGTACGTCGAATCAAACTACGGCTGCGTGGTTTGCTCTTCGTATCTTCACTGACGGTTGAACTTTGTGCTGCGACCACTTGCTGAGAATGGCCACCAGGGCCAGCGCTTCCGGTTCTACCGTGCGGACTGCCAGACCTACCGATTCGATCGCTTCTGTAATACGCGAAACCGATGAAGCAGCGATCCAAGTTAAACGACAGAAAGGGATTAATGTCGGTGTAGTGATAAGTTGTTCTGTTTCAAACAGCGATTCTAGATGCCAAAATAATACGAAGAAATGCTACAAATACTTTTGAGGGTTCCTCATCGGACAGAAAGACTGTAGATCCGTTGAAACGTATAGTACTAATTATATTGAAATAAAAAAAGAGTGCAATATTTTTGCTCTTGTAATAAATTACTGTTAACGATAATAATTGTACATATTTGGAGAATCCTCAGAATTGAAATGTTTCAATTTTTATAATCTCGTCTTTTTGACTTCTCAGACTTTATTTTCGCTAGCTCGTAGTTGTATTCGGTTGGCAACTAAATAATTGCGGAGTTTGTCGATAGACTTGTTCTTATTTAAAATCCGCAATCACTTAGTTGCCTACCCAATAGAATACTCTGTACACTATAATAATGTTATGCAACGTGTCAAGTTGTCATCTGTATAACTATTTGTTGACACGAAAACCGGTTCTCTCTCGTCCGCAGTTTCAATGGAAAATTCGTTTTTACGTCTGAAAATATTAATGGAACGGCTTGATAATTAATACCCGATTCGCGATATAAATGCAAATCCACTCCAAGTGTTTCTAAACAGAGTTAGAAATTATGTTCGCGTGTTGCTTTCACCGTTTCCATTCCGGTATGTGCGCGCGTACAGTTGTTGTACATATAGTTATTGGCATTTCATTTGTTCATGATTAATTGGAAAACCATGCAGTAAAGAGAAATAGCAGAAGAGAAGAACGAGAGAAGCTGGGTGAGGAGGAGGAGGAGGAGGAGGAGGGTAGAAGAGAAAAAGTGGGGAAGAAGAAAGAGAAAGCGGAGTGTACCTGCGCGATCCGTAGGCCGAAGATCTTCGTCGAAGGCCTGACTCGTCCGAATCGCCGGTATGATTTTTCGGTACGATTCTGGACAGAGTGATGAAACATCGAAATATTTCTTTAATATTGTAATCATCCTTAGCAGAACACTCCATCACTTTGGCACGAAGCTTCGGCAATTCGCAAAACACCCATTCGCTCACATCTTCAATCGGTACTTCTCTTCGCGTCGGGGCAAGATCCAATTTGTTTCCGGCAACGACTATTGGCACTTCCTGACGAACGGTGTTTAATCTCAATATTTGTCGACTTTCCCATCGATTCCCGCACTCCGCCTTCTTTTTGGTAGTGAACGGAGTTATGCGCTTAAATTATCCTCGGTTTTACGGTACCTGAAAATCTGGCCGTTGTTCCCTGACTTCTTCGAAACATCGTTTCACGCACTCGAAGCTTGGTAGCGATGTAGTTGCATAAACGAGAAGGAACGCGTGTGCCGTAGCTATGCTCAGCCTTCTCATAGCTGGGAATTGTAAATCGCCTGAAATCGTATGCATATTACTACGTACGTAGTTTAGGCAAATTACAACATTTAAATACACGGAGTAGAATGTTCATTCTCTAAATAATGACTTTAACAAGATTCCCGTCGTATTTCTAGATTAATGGAATTTTACGCGATAGTAGTATGTGGTCGATGCCTAACTCTGCCCTGTTGCATAATATCGAAAGAGGAAAGGGAGAGGGGAGGATTTCTTACCAGCTGTATCCAATAGATCGACTTTCAGGGTGAGTGTACCAAGAACACATTCCCTCGAATAAAGATCTTCAACGGTGGGCCTGTATCTTTCACTAAATCCTTGCCCGAGTAAACAACGTATAATCGCGCTTTTTCCAACACCAGCACCACCCAGTACCACCACTCTGATTCTTTCGTGATCAGCCATGCCGTAAGTCCGTTCAACTTGTCTTGATCAAACTCTAAGAAGACGTGAAAATTAAACGTAATCATCTTTTATCCCAGATTTATCAGTGACAACTTGTTTGTTGTATTTATAAAATATGAATTTACACAAGCAGTTTACGTATGTACATATGTATAATAAATCCTTTTGTTTTTCACATTGGCATAGACAAAAGCAAGAATATTTGTAGCTTTCGACCAGGTTGAACGAGGTATTCGCTCCACCGATGTTTTCGTCACTTTCAATTAAAATTTGTTATTATACCTTTTTTTATGTAACTTGTGTTCGACCCATGACGGATCGAACTTGTACATCAGACAAAAGGGAACGGTTGAAGGCGTCTCGCAAGCTCTATGATCGATCGAAACGCGTTTCACCCTACACTGGAGAATTAAAGTGGAGTACAAGCGGTAACAAGGATCTGGGTCAAGAATTGAAAGATTCAACTAATGCTTTCGCATGTAATCGCATGGATCTGTTTCGATTTCGTTGAAAATCGAAGCTTCGAGCGTCCGCAGTTTTGCTTTCTTCCTGCCTGGAGAACCACGAGTATTATATTACAAGTTGTGAACAGACCACAAACGCATTGTACGTTATTACATTTGGTCAATTCACAGACAGTTGGTTGCCAGAATGTTTCCATGGTTTACGGAGCGATGATTCACGATTATCGCATAATGCATCCCATCGAATCAGACCTCTTTACGACACAGACAATTTCACAGCAATTTCCCTATTCCGCGCGACGCTTGGATCAGTACAATTTCGATTGTATCAGTCGTGCTTACAGTTAACGATGCTCGTGCCGGTGCAATAGAAAGCGTTCGTTTGTTTCAGTAACGTAGATGTCGAAGGAAAAAAAGTTTGTAAAAGCTAAAGGTATAACAAGCACGTGTGCGAAACTCTTGTTAACGATATCGCTTCGTTATTATTCGCCGGTATATCAAAATTAATTAGCGCATCGCACCCGTTAAAGCCGCAAACTGTGCATACGTGTAGCATACGAGTGTACGTATACATACATACTTATGTGTCCCTATCTATTGCGCATTCGTCAATTCCAAGTTCCGAGACAAATAGTAATTTTCTAATTATAGATGATATTCGATGAATTTCCCTAACTTTAACATTTGCCAAAAGATCATTGTGCATTCGTAAGCCCCTGAGTTGTTTGTGCATCGCGGATGAAACCAACTTTCCGGCACGAATCGGATGCATCTCGTTTCCGTTCGCTGTACGCTATTCCTCATTCAGTTTGTTATTTTGCAATCGATTCAGCGAACAAACAAGTCTCGCGGAATGTTGTCGATAAGCTGAGGAACAACCTATACATATGTATATATGAGTATACGAGATAATTATTTTGCTCAAATTCAGCTTTAGAAATAGATTCAACTTTATTTTCTTGCGAACAAACCTCGCGGAGCTGTCGTAGCTTCGTCTCGTGTTACTGAAAAAACTGATGAAAACACGTGATTTCCAACAGAATTCTGTACCGGAGCTTCCTGCTACCGGAGCATAATTTCGATATTTACATATCATTTGCTTGCTGTTATCGATAATATTTGCACGTGCGATCAAATTCTCTCTAACGTATTTTTTTTTCTGTGCGTCACTGTATCAACGAAGAGGAAACATCTACACATTTTAGATCATAAATTAACATCGAACGTATGTGTAAAATTCACGAATATTCCATACTCGAAACGAAAGTATGTCAGCCAGACAATGCAGTTGTGTCAATTTCGTTCATTGGAAGGAACAGTGAAAAGCTTTTATTCGCACGCAACCTGGGGAAACCGAAATATGTACTACCGCGTACTCGCGTGTGCTGAGGAAGCTGATTGCGCCTGTATCTGCTCCGAACCAGCAGCCTAATGTTCGTGCTTTCTATGAATCATCGACGCGAGATACGCGAGAAACTAGTTTTTTCATTCAATTCACGTGAATGTATACGCAGTAAAATTTGCACTACTTATTTGCTAGTAGCCGTTTCTTACAAAAACAGGGAAGTTGAACTAATCGTGGTTGTTTCGTGCTAAAGATACACGTGTATAACACAGAGATTTAAGGGTATATTGGTATGAGTATATGTATAAAAGCTGATCTAGCGTGAAACGATCAAAGGCAGGACACGCGCGCTGCTGACAGTGCTGACCGATCTATTTCTACATCGCGCAGCCTTCCCTTTCGTCCCATCGCATCGGCTCGACTGTTCTCTTTTTCATCGTTCTCCACTTTTCTCTTTGCCGCTTCGAAAACGATCCTAAAGCGATCGTTTATCGGATAAACTTGTTGTGGGTTGGCGTCCAATTTTCCGCTCGATCCTCGAAACCGATTGGTGGACAAATCGGCTTATTTTCAACCATACTATCCCTATTTCCGAAATTCTGAGCGGACTATAGATTCTTTTTTTTTTTTTATTAACGTCTATGGAACGTACGGATTCGTGATGTGACACGATGTGATTCGTTTCTATTTCGAGTATCAGATCGTGCACGCGATGGCATTAAATCGGTGAATATGAAATTGTCCCCTTTATGTCAGAGTCCAAGAACGTGCGATTTGTTCAGTTCTAAGAGCCGCGATAATTACATAATCATGAATGAAACTCCAAGTAGAAACTGTGTTATACAATGCAAATACTTTTCACATTAATATCGGATTAGGAATAAGAAAAGTGATCACTTATAAAAAGATTTGCACGTATTATATATCCTGTAGATTTGTTAGTAGAAACTGCATCTTTCATTAGGGCACAATGTTATGATGTTAAGATAATGTTTCGAAGAACTGTCTTAACAATCGTGTACGTAAGTGTAAACATCGTTGCAAGTGGAATGATTATGTTACGCTCAGACACACAGTTGGGCACAGGGCACTACTACGTAATAACTGCACGGTCGCGAAATTGTTCGTCCGAATGCTTCTACGATTACGCCCGAATTTTCTCCATCGTGTGCGCGTCCTTCGAAATTCGAGGAGTTCTTATCTTGAACAGCAGTGACACGAACAATTCGTACTGCACAGCTGTAGAATCTCGATCATCGTCTATTTAATGGTCACCCTCATCTTTTCTCCTTTGTTATATTAATTTTCGCACGAGGTAACCGGAAATAATTATCGGTTCTTGGTTAATGTCAAAGGTCGATTCTTGACCATCGAACAACACCGTGTTTAAAGCCTATTTTCAAAACGCTTTGAATAATAAACTTATTTTGTGCATACCCGATCGCGTAAAATGTAAAATTACCACGTCATTCTATTTATCTCGCTTCTGACTTTTAGCGTGGATTAATAATGCAACTACACTGCTGAATATAGCCATGATTGTAATTCCTTCATGAAGGGAGAAGGCGATGAAGGTAAAAAGAAGGTATGATGCCGTTAAAGTGGGTGCTTGCTACGAGGAGCGCAATATGAGAGGCTACGCTACGGATTCTCTTTAAAAAGAGGAACATCTCGAAGGAACGTTCAGTCTGATAGAGCGGCTGCCATTAAAAGCGACGAATCAAGTTCGATAAACTCTTCGAAATAAAGTTTTTTGCAATTTGAATATTTTTAAAATGCTCTCTAAAGACGTAAATACAGACGACAATGCAGAAATACCGGATGATCTCTGGATTCAGAGTATAATGCAAGAAATATTGTCCTAAATACAGATCTATTAATATAGGTACACCTCCTTCAAGGAAAAAAGATATAAAGGACAGGACTGGGACAATTTCCTATCCGATATTAAATTCTGTTAACTACGTTGACCCTGAACGATTACTCGTTTCATTCGATTAGGCGAAATTGTACCGAAACATAGCGGTAATCAGATTTCCTCTAACTGTTTGCACAGACGTAACATTCGACATCTATTAATTATAATCGAGTGAATTTTTTTACTAGTCAACTGAAATTCGCCTATATTATTCGATACTATTCAATCTTTTAAGCAGATACGATATAACATACGACTGATATGAATAATTAAATAACTGATTGTATAAATGAGCAAATACACAAATGTACAGATGAAGGAATATACATTTTTGTATCGTATAAGTTAAAAATTATACATAACCTCAAAATATGAAACATTTATCAATAAAAAGATCGAACATTGAATCTTTTTTTTTTAGAGAAAGAAGAAAAACAGGAATAAATTGTAGCAATCCTGTTTCAATAACGTTAGTGAAAAGTGAAGACATTGGTTATTTTATGATAAGAAGTAATACGATTTCAATGATTGAAGATATATTATAAAATATTCCTACTTCTCTTTCCATCTATCAACGTGTACACGCATGTATACTAATTCCACGTACAGTCATTTGGTGATATTTCACATTTATGGACGCAACGAAATTCTCAGAATTTCTTTAAATTCATGTGCATCGTATTTCATAAAAATCAAAATTGTATGCACATACTGACATGCGAAAATTTTGTGTCTAATAAAGCGGAGAACGAACTCGTAGTAGGCAATCAACAGGCGCATTAATTTCAATTCTCGCCCTCGCAAGACGATTGCAAAACTATACGCGTGTTTTAAAAAGAAAGACTTAAATTGTGAAAAGGGTGTACGCGCTGAAAGATATGAGAGATAACTTACCAGGATACGGGTAGAAGCAGCTTCGGATTCTGATATAACGAACCGTCTGTTAGACAACGTGCAACTGTAACTGTACAATGTGTACGAAAAAAACATACCCAGCTTCGTTCCCGACCGACGTCGAGACGATACTGAACAACCCTCTTCTCTTCGGAATATTCTGTTGTGACTTGCGTTAGCCGCCGAGTACTACGAAAATCAACTTCCCCTTAAGGAGCGTGCGCAGCATTATTTATTTTCTGATAATATGCGGTCGATCGTATATACCTGAAGAATGCTGCAGCATTCACTTTCTTCCCAATCTTTCTTTTTCTCTTCTCCTCATTTTAGTATATTATTTTTTACCTGCTACCCCTGTTGGCTGTTATCTATAAGAGATAGAAACCAATTACCGTCAATGCTCGATGACATCTGTCGTACGTCTGTCTGGTACGTCTGTATTTATGTCTGACTATGATATTCATCATAAAGGGTATAACTACTCGATGGATGTTATTGAACATCAACGACAGTAATCCACTTTTTCTTGAAAACGCTGAAAAAATCGAATGTCTTTCTATGAATTAATAACTCGGGAGTGTTTTTAATTTTATACTGATTGCAGGAACTAATTATTAGATCCTGCTTTGGTTTTACCTAGCAACATTTATTTCTCTTTCTTTTTGCATTATCGATTAAAACCGACGGGAACTAATAGTGCGGCGCTATATTGGGACTTCTTTTCTTGAGCATTCACCCTTTTTGCATTATTTACTTCTTGAGTTTCATACGTCTTTACGATTCTTGTCTCACGCGATTCTCTCCCTTTCACCAAAAATTGTACGCGAAGAACAGAAATAAATATTGCGTACTTGTACATATTTAAGTAGTTTTTGTTCCAATTAATCCTGTAATCTCATTCTATGCAAGTCGATAATGTCGGGAACGTTTAGCTTGTCTGTAATACCTACGGATGGGATTACAGAAGAGTAAAAAGATGGTTTCCTTATGAAAGTGGGGATAGTGTCGCCGCATGGAAGGAGGATCTCAAGTCGTCACTCGTATTGTAGCGCTGATGAAGTGCGTACGGGTTCTTGTCAGTTGTGCGGGCATTAGAAAGTGTTGAGTGCGTAAAATCGGTCCGTTAAAAAAGAAACAGAGACTCTTTGCCAACCATGGGTGGTAAGTGCCGGATTTTTAATACATATCTCTTATAATGTTTCTATCGTATTCATGCGGCTTGACCGAAGGTTATGTTCATTGGAGAGTTCATTTGGGGTGTATGATAACATCGCCGGTAACCGGTCTTGACCCAATGACCTTCATACGAGTTATATCTTTCACAGACAACGAGCAATAACCTCATAGGCGGTAAAAATGTGTACGTTCTTTTGCGTTATTGTCGGATGATTCGTCGCTTCGTATTAGGAACGATAGATTTGAATAATAGCTCGTTATACGATGCGGAACACGTTCGTCTCTCGTTTTTATTTCTTTCGCGACGATCGGTTTGACTCGCGCTCGACTTTTTCCTTTAGACGCATGCGGGAAGACTTGCATTTCGATAGTAACTTGGCGCGAATTTGTTAGACCATGTCTTACGTATTATACAATTTACAGTTTCTCACAATGAGACATATAGTTTTATTTTCGTAAATTTGATCAGAATTAAAGCGTCAAATATAATGTATGGAATCATATTGTAGAAAAAAAGAACGGTAATTGGACAAGAAGTTATGCGTGAAATTCGATTTTCAAAAAAAAGAAAAAAAAAATATGGTATCTGGAAATCAGCGGCTGTGGAAATTATTCTTCATGTATTTCGATGTAATACTTTACGATTGTTTAAAGCACAAGATAGCTGAAGAACAATGTTGTATCCTCCTTTTTTTCATTCTCTCAGAAACAAGATTCCTCCTGCATAAAATAAGATAACTGTTGGTATTCGTGCAGTTTATTCTTAGCCGTCTGTGGAAGAAATTGCGGCTCTCTGCCAAACCTTCTCTATCTCTTTATATTTATTTTGAACCTAGTAAAATTGTTTCCACTTCATGAAAATTTCCCTATACAATATATCATTTTATTTAAATATCTAATGTTTTATTTGTTGGTAACGAAACAAAGCTGTTTTCTTTCTTTCTATAGTAGACATTGGTTAACTTCCAGTTGTATTTATTAAATAATACTTAATTTCAGGTGTGCATTTAATCAATTGTACGACTAACAAAAAGAAGGAAATCCCCTTTTCATGCATCATTATTATAAATATTTATTATTATCGTTCATTATTCTTTACTTATTTAATTGAATATTTCCGTAATTGAGAGTTACTTAATATTATTACGGCGGCGATATTAATATGTTTATTGATCAACGTGCCACGGTGATGTAACAGTGACCGGCGCGATATACCCGCAAGGAATCTTCATTCACAAAGTCAAGAAACAAAACCATTTGTTTGTTACTTTTCTCATGTAACAATATTGTTTAAAATTAATTTTTGCAACGATCTCATCGGTTTTGCATGTGTTATTGCATTTGCTGGCTGACGACGGTCTGGAAATATTAGGGAACAGAAACTTAGGTGCAGTCGAACGGAAGTTCGGATCGTTAAGTTCATTGTACTTCGATTGACGCGGAATAGCTGTATACTATTTTTATGTAGGTTCAATCTTGACCTTCGCCTGAACTGGGCGCGGAATTCTATTTAGTTTGTAGACTAGCTCTATGTTGGATGGATTCCTAATTAAACGGTATCCTTCTTATTCTTCTCGTCTTAATGCTGAAGAAGTAGATAAAATAAGTAGAATAAAATGACATGGAACTCAGAAAAATAGATTACCAATAGAAATTATGAACTAGTTTTCGTGGAGTAAAATGTGATTGCACCAATGGTCATGTTTATTCTATTTCTATCCATGAGATATGTACTGGAATAAAATGAACTTAAAGTACGTGAAGATATCAGATGTAGTGGTTTAACATTTAACGTAAAAGATGATCATTGGGCATTTGTGAATCAAGAAGATTATCTCATTAAAAGCGAGTCGAGATAAGAAGCGACAACAATGGTGTCTGTTCGCATGACGAGTACGTCGGAGAAAGTGTCGATCCGTAGACGTGTCTGAACTGAAGTACGTATGTACTACGTGATCGTATAAGGAAATCTGGTCAGACCTGGGAGACAAGTGCTTGACCTAAGGCAAGGTATATGAATGCATTTTGTACAAACGCGAGGCTGGGTTGCTATTATAAGCTGGTCGGCTTGTATAAATATAAACCTGTGTGGCACAACGACGCCGGCACTCTGCCTCTCGGGTTTCGTCTGCGTATTACAATATGCGAGAAGCCGAGCACCGCGTTTCTCATAGCCAAGATAAATGTTTTATATTTTTTAACAACGCCTCTGCGAAAACGTCGACGCGCCAACAAATGGATAGAGATGCGCCTCTGCCAAAACGATTGTATCAAGCCACATACTGTTGAAGTTAACACGCAACTTCCGGTCATCGAATAATTTTTACCTACCCGTAATTAAATGATGAAACAGACAATGAATCGTTTTAATAGAGCAGTTCTCAGTAAGCCGACATGTTTGATTACTTTTATAAACATTGACGCAAATAATACCGATGATCTCGTACTCGGGTATAGAAATATTCGCTGTCATCCAACGCGTTATGATTCGGAGAACACCGGTAGCAGAAACCCGAGCTTTACTGCTCTATCTATTCTCTTTCTCGATTCTACTCTCCTCCCTTTCTGCAACCGTGATTCACTACTACTTTCACACATTGATTGTATTTAATTTTACCAGCATATTTGATACTGAACTGCACTCCACGACTATAAAATCAATAAAAACATTTAAATACAATACATTTAGCAATTTATGAGGATTGAACATTTTTTTTTTATTGATCTCATTACTACTTCTTAATACTAAACTTTCTAATTACTAAACGCAGTTTATCTATCGTTTTTGGCAACTGTTCGATCGTGATCGCATTGTAAAAAATTTTAATAACGATGTCGTACAATTTCGACACTTGATCCAACTACTTAATGGATTACGAAGTTCAATCCGTGTTCGAATAAAATTCTGAAATTATATCATAGGTGATAAAAAAAGTGATAAGTCAGAAGATAATTCGAATTAATACTATATACATACTACAGGTACAGATCGCTGCTCACTTACTGTTCGACTACTGAATAAGAAGTTGCTGACAAATTTTTTAAACATGAAATATGATTTTCAATTGAATATCTCATTGATAATTGATAGAACTGCACGAGAGAGAGCACGTTTCGATCAGTCTCTGGACTTATATCGACACCATAGAATTTCGTCAGGCCATTGAACGTATCGATAAACTCGGCTACTGATAAAGAACATGCGACTCGTTTCGTATATCTGTATGATTTTATAACAAAACTCATGTTCAAAGTAGATATGCACACAAAATACTTAAGCATTGAACTGTTTAAAAAGGTTCTATCGAGTTTTGAGTGTACAATCAAATTTTATATTTTAATTATTATATTAAAATTATTTCGTCGTCTCGCGTAGGCCTTCGTATTCTCGTTGGCCGACGATATTCAACGGCGATACATCGCGATGACGATTTGTAAGGAAATTAATTAACAGCAATTGACGAGAGTATGTTATCGATTGAAATAGGAGGTAATTTATCGTATTACGCGTCTATATTTCGCGAATGTATAAGTCTCGTGATTATAATGATAACTCCGTGAAATGTGCCTAACGCAAGAAACTTAATATCTCATTCAATGTCGATACGTATAATGCAACCATTCCAGAAACGTGAACGACGGTATATTTTCAAGGCTCGAGCGAGAGCTTACTGCATACAATAATACTAGAATTATTATGACGTAACTATACCTCGCGTCTCGTGGGACACGTGTTGCGTAGTAGCCTGACCGAAATGAAAATTGATCGAATTCCATCGAAGGTCCTCCCTCGCCGTTTCTCTACGTACGTGTACGATGCTGCAGATGAATGCTTCCGGCGAACGGTAACCAATACGTATTTATATCTCTACGAACGTAGTTAATCTGCTGTTGCTGCTACAAGAATTTATTGGATCATTTTATGCATCATCTGGTATTTGTTTAATCCAAACAAGAATTTTCATTACGAATGAAATTAATAATCTTGATCTCTAATATCACGTTATTGATGTACGTAATACATGCTACGCTTAAGAATCTAGCGCTTCGAGCAAACAGTACATATTTAAGTAGATAAAATCACGGAATTCTTCTCTTCTCTCTTTTCTTTCAAATATAGTCTTTACTTTTTGAGTACATATATCCTATGTTATAGAACAGTGATGGCGAACCTTTTCGTCAAGTGGGTCGAATTTTGTTCATTATTTTTTTTACTACTAGCTCGTGGGTCATTAAGTTCGTGGCGTCACTGTGGGAGGGGAGGATGGTTAAAAATGGTACTCTTTTTGGTTCACAATTTGAAAATCCTCTAAAAAATTTACGTTTTGTCTTACAACTCTTATTTTTGCAAGTGAAGAGCAGCAAAATAAAGGTCGACGTAAAGAAAATTGATTGATATAACCAGGTGACACCGTGCCCAGTGGGCAATATTTTTTCTAATATTTTTCATTGTCTTTTTCATGATATAAAAAATAAGTTTATAAAAATCAACGCGTGGGTCAGTGTCTGACCTGATGTAGGTTGTTATCCATCACTGTTATAGAATATCCCCAAGGAAAAAGTAGCGTTCAGATAAGTAAGCTAAAAATATTTTAATCCAGTGTAATTGAAGCCAAATCTCTTCAGATTCCCCGGCGCAGTGAATCAAGCGATGACATTTGCGAAATAGAAATAGAAAGTGTTATAAATAAAATGGCAACATGGTTGGATTTTCTTATTGGCGAAAAACAAGTTGAACGCATTTAGATTCACGCGGTTGAGCTCCTCTACTTCTATTTTTACCGTTTTCGACGCCTCAGAAAATCCAGCACGCATTTTTAACGTTTTTCGTTTCTTCTTAACGAGAGAACTTGCGGTGTATAAATGTATGTTCTGAATAAAATTCTTGAAACTATCCTCGAACAATTCTTGTCCTAGTGTTGTTAAATATTAACACGTTGAGCTTTCCGTTCAAGCGGCGGCGCGGTAGATTTCGGCCACTTGTCAAATAATATGATACATAATATAAAACACATATTGCAGTGACGATTTTATTTCACTTTTCGGTTAGGTTAGACTATGGTAATGCATAGCAAAAACAGCCAGAAATTTGATTTCCAAAAAACTCTTCACTTTCTGTAATCCGTGTAAAGTCAAACCGTATCTTTGCTTAGATAGTTTTAATAAATTCATCAAAACTACATTATTTATTTCTTAACTTTGATACTGCTTTGATTCCATGGGACCGACGACACGCCGCCTGAACGAGTTCACTGTCAATCGGAAAAAACCGACGCCGCCTGAACGGAAAGTTCACTGTCGGTCTCCAGGGACCGACGTAGTGCTTAACGTGTCGATATACTGCTATTATACAACATGAATACGTAATTTGAAATAGACGACGCACGACGACACATTCGGATTAAAAAACATTATTAGGATTGTCTTAATCTTATAGCGATAAGAAACGTAGAATCAATGGTACTAGCAGAGTTCAGGATGTTATCTTATACGAGATACATACATTCTTATACCAGAAGAAAACTGCATTCATTTAGCATCAGTTAATGACGCAATGTCGAAGCCAATACAGGAATCAATGTTTCGTCTGCAACGGCTTATCAATATGTTAATGTCAATAAGGAGTTCATATTCATATAGTACAGCTAGTGAAAAAATTATTCACATGCAAAAATCGATCGTTTCAATTGATGAAACAATTTTCTATAATAAATCATGATCTATCCTGAATACGTATATTTTAATTGAAGCTATTTTGTGGAATTAGCGATCGACCATTGGCCGTGAGATCTCGTAAGAATTAATATTAAAATATTGCGATTTTAAGGATACGCCTGGGTCACATTAGCTACCAACGACGCCTATTGTTTGGGGGCCTTAGTTTTGGCACACTCTCTACGCCGAGTTGGTACCAAATATGAATTGGCTGTGTTGATCACTCCTGGAGTAACGCAAACGATGAGGTGAGTCTCTTTCCAGCTTGTCCATTATAAATATAATTAGACGTTTGTTTTCATTCTTCGGCTGCACGCGCGCGCGCGCGTAACGGTCAGAGATAGACGTCGGGCGAAGCGCGGTAGATAATAATTCCTTCTATTATATTTAGGGAGAAACTATCAACAGTTTTTTCTGTTGTAATGGAAGTAAATGTACTCGATTCGAAAGACGAAGCTAATTTGGCACTGCTCGCTAGGCCGGAATTGGGTATCACGTTTACGAAACTGCATTGCTGGAGATTGACTCAATACGATAAATGTGTCTTCCTCGACGCGGACACGCTCGTAAGTTTCGCGCGAACATGTTTCATTTCGATCCGGAACAGTTCGCCCGTGCTTTACTTATTGCGTCATATTGTATACTTACTAGGTCGTGAGAAATTGCGACGAGTTATTTGAGAGAGAAGAATTGTCTGCTGCTCCCGACGTTGGTTGGCCCGATTGTTTCAATTCCGGTGTATTTGTATACAAACCGTCCCAACAAACTTTCGCTTCCATCACCGCGTTCGCAGCCGCCAAAGGTTCGTTCGACGGCGGCGATCAGGGTCTACTGAACATGTATTTTAGCGACTGGGCCACAAAAGATATTTCTAACCACCTTCCATTTATCTATAACATGTGTTCTACCGCTACGTACTCTTATCTTCCTGCATTCAAACAGTAAGGAGACTTATTTATTTAATTGTAGATCCTTTACGTTCTCCGTATTATTTTAATAGGAACAGCAAGTAAAGATGACATAAAGTGATGCTGAATACTGTTGTTCGTTAGGTTTGGAGATGACGTTAGAATAATACACTTTATCGGTATTACAAAACCGTGGTTACAGTATTTTGACACTTTAACTGGTATTGTTCAACCACCACCGGGTTCTACGCACTTGCAACCGCTATTGCAATTATGGTGGAACATATTTTGTGAAAGTGTCCATTCACAGTTATCACCAGTTATGGTGAGTTTGATTTACTCTTTTCTTCGTATCTCAATTATTATACGTCAATGGACTTTTGACATAAATATTTGTCAACGTGTTTACAGAATTATATTTTTTATAATTCTACATTGTTTTATTCGTTAGATTGTAAGATAATAGACTCTAAATATTTAACAAGCACAGGTAAGAGTTGTATATCAATCACACTTATGTACACTTGATACAATATCGTATCATTCTGTTATTTTATTGAGCATAGCATAGATATCACGTGTATACACGTATTAATTAGAAACCGAATCACGCAACATTCTATGCTTATATATCACTGAATTGTACAGATTTTTATTATAAATATGTTTCTCTTTAATTGTACTATTATTAATTTACTATAGCATTTTCTTACATGATTTTGTTTCTGTAGTGTTTCAAATATATTTGTTTTTTTTTTTCGTAGTACATATTCTCTTAGTCCGAATATTAATAGCTATGTACATAACAGACATCTAAATAAGAAATATACGGTTTGGAGAATTCTATTAATTTCTGTTTATCTTCGGATCGTGTCAGCTGTCGATATTCTATCGAATTTTTTTTCTGTATTATTTTTGTAGCATACAGTGTCCATTTTTTCTCATCCTTCACATTTCTAACATTCTATACCTTGTTCTAACTAATTCATTATTCATTTTATGCTCTACTAAAGGTATGAACATAAAACACTCTCACTCGAATACAGTTCCGTAGAAAACGGTATGTAAATTAGTCTAGACCAATGTGTTTTATCGCGATTCGGCATAAGAAAAATGGACACTGCTAAATTAGTTTTCTACTAACCAATCGAATGTGCATTTTTTTTTTTTTCTGTTTTGGCATGATGCTTGCATAGGCTACCAGCACATTGGCACCAATTTGGCACGAATTTACTCCTGTACCTTTTCAACATCCTACTCCACTACGAAGCTCCACTTACACAGACACAACAGACAGAACACAAAATGATATTTATGTACAACCAGATTTCTCCGAGTTTCAAGATCCGTGGGAGAATTATCTCACACGAAACAATTCAATTATTCACGAAACAGAAGACAACGTAACACAACAGTATTATTCCACAACCAATACTTGTTCACCTGCGCCTACATTCGTTAATCAAACTCATTACGAACCACCAACGGAACATGGTAGAACACATTATCAGCAACAGTACATCGAACCCTTGCACATTCAACATAATCACAATCAAGAACAAATTTCTGATTACGTTAATAATGAAACTGAACAACAACATTCGTATTTTCATCCTAGCGACACGTCCGTATCAAATGCTCGACACACTTGGCATAATCGACCTAGTGTACCTGTATATAATGTACAAAATCATCATTCCAACGAATCTCAACATCAGCATGTTGATCACCATCATCAGTACATCTCACCGATGAGCCATTACGATAATAATAATACATTATCATCGGAAGAAACAAGAGAACACAAGCATGTCGACTACCAATCTGTTTATCAACAAAATTCCTTTAATAACAACGAATCACCGTCGGAAGAAGTGATAAAGCGACAGCAACATAATGAACATTATGTTGATTGTAATCATTATAAAACGAGTAATAGTGAGCAGTTTAATCATCATTATAAAAAAGAGAATAACGAGTCTGTAAATATTAAAACAGATCACGATCGGCCTGTGGATGATAATAACATAGCTCATAAAAATGATCATTTGACTGAGCGGAAGGCTGTACGAAATAAGAATGTAAACTTCACAGACGAACGGACAAAAACATCAGTATCTTTTAGTCCTATTCCTAATTCCAAACCCTGTACAGATATCCACAAAGTAGCAACGCAATCTGACCTACACGTAATGGATGATCTAAGTAATTCAAATGTAAGTAATTGTTCCCACCTACATACTACTTTTTAAATTTAAACTACAAATCTTTGATACTTTTAAAAATCATGCATTTTTCGAATTTATCTTTAAAAAATTGTTTAAACAATTGTAATATAATTCGCTATATCTACGCCTGTATCTTTAGTAATTTCTGGGACATTACTTGCAGTTTCAATTTTTAACATGGTTGTTTTCAGTATAAGAACATTATCATTGTTAAATGTTTTTAACAATCCTCAAGTGTTTGCTATTTCTTCACGATTTTTATTGTTGTCCCTTCTATGTGTATTATCCTTTAATTATTTAAATAAAAATAGCTATTGGTGTGCGCTAAACAAACTTGTTCAAAGAGAAACTTCCTTTAATTTATAACATAATCCATTGCTAGTTTGTATGTTACTAATTTTTACTAGATTTGTGTGTTACATTTTTCACGTTTGTGCTACATGCATTTACAATATAGTGTAATTATTATCACATACGGTTCGTGTATAAGGTAACTTGGAATAATCTACAATGAATTTATACTGTTTGTTGTAAGTTATTTGTTCGTGTCGATTCAATTTATATGCTCGTGTCTACTTTCATTTACTTCCTTAAATGTATGTGTATTAATTGTGACTTCGTAGGGTGGTCTCGCCGGTGCCTTGGCTCAAATGACGCTGGGCGAACCCAGAAGCGCCGAACAAATTGCATTAGAAGAACATATGCGAAAACAGAGCTGGGAACAAGGTCATATCGATTATATGGGCCGCGACAGCTTCGACAACATTTGGAAAAAAATTTGCGAAACCCTCGCTCTTGCACCATCGCGATTGCCGTCTCCACCTAAAGTATAATCTGTGCTCAATTTATTACGTAATAAATTGATCAAGTAGATAGAACTGATACACAAAATGCCTGTCTGTGATACAATTTACAGGAAACAGAGAAGCCCGCGAAAACCGCAACTGACAAGACTGATTCTATTAAAGATGACTCGATTATATCTTCTGACACTACGCAATCTATCGAATCTGTAGATGAAGCGGATAAAGGAGCCGGCGGTACGTATCATTTTAATAATCGAAACTGATACAAAATTATATTTTGTGAAATGCTGAAAATTTATTTGACCGAAATTAATGCAGAAACGAAACGAAATTTGTAAGCTAGAATTCATTTTTTCTTATCTCACCCACGAGGCAAATGCGCAACAACTACATGTCAGAGCAAGAAGAATTTGAAATTTGATTTTCCACTTAATAAGCGTTTCGATTAGTAATGCAAACTGTGTATAAAAAATTAAAGTGCTCATAATGCAAAGCAATTAACTGTTTTTGAAAACACGCTTTGCGATTTTATTTTCCCCGATTTTTTTTAATACAGCATGTGGCATTCGAACTCATATAGAAAGAGAATAAAGATTTACGAATTGTTCCAAAATTGATTTGAACGCGAAATTATATAAATCACGTTTTTCGTAATGAATTTAAAAGTTTGGGCATAATTTAAGGAAGTGAAAACATATTTTTCCTATACAGTTTATCAAGTTTAAGTGTTTGAAACAGGAACGGAGGACAGCAACTAACAGATCCTGGCGCCATAGCATTGCTACGTCTTGTAATGTCGTTTTGCTTTAATGGGGTAAATATTTCGAGAACTCGCATCACTATCAAATCGCGATTTTTAAATAAATTAAAAAAGTTTGTTAAACACAACTAAAAACCAGCACACGGTATATATTAAAACTCTCATTATTAAAATTATATCATTGCATATATGAAATTATGCAGCGTTGGAATAAATCACCTGACTTGTAGCAGTTTAATGTTATGTATAATATTAATAACAATAATTGTGATAGCACATTAAATCTAAAGACTGTTTAATTGTTAGACACGATGTACTATATACATATATGTAGAACAGATTAATATAAATTAATTCTGCTTTGAAATCATATTTTCCTAAATTCAATAATAAACAATGGAAAGTTCTTCAAACATTTCTACCAGATTTTCGATTAGTTTGCTTGCATTTACTCAAAAACGAACGCTTTGCATGTCATGAACGCTTGATACAAAACATGTAATATCAGACCTAAAACTTGAATAACTGTCAGCATGATTGATATTTCTCTTATTACTTTCTAACTTATTTCTTTCTAATCTTGATTTTCGTCGATCCTTCGAATTAATGTCTGCGTTGTATTGTAATAAATAGCATTTGTCGAGAGCACATTTAGCAAGAATAGTTTCAGTCGCTACCACTTTACTTTTTGTGTTCAAATCAAAAAATTTCTTCAGATATACTTTATTTGCACTACAAGAAAACAATTTTAAAACAAAATATTTAGTGTAGCATTTGATATAAAATACACGTAATCTTTAGTATTGCACATTTCTTATATATTTATAAGCATACGTATTTCATATTTTTATCAAGTATCTTTTTTTCTTTAAGATAGTAATATTTAGATATTCACTGTACATGCATCTGTAGCAAAGAATGTATTTTACATGCTGTAGAAAATGTAATTTACATTCCACTTTATACGTACAACAGTATCTGCGCATACGTATAACACATGATTGTCTTTTCTTATTTAGCTGAGGCAACACCCGATAGTGAAGAACAATCTCTAGTTAACAATGTTCCTATAACAAGCGTACCTAAATTATCAGAGACGAATGAACAAGTTAAGGATACCATATCTTCTGTGAAAGAAAGTGAAGATGATATTACCGAAAAAATTTCAGTAGAACCTGGAAACGAAACGCTTGATGCAAATATTTCGATGCAAACATCTAATAAACAAATTTTAGAACTTGATGCATGTTTGCCATTAAAAGAAACCCCGCAGCAAACAACTGCTCCTATAGTATCATCTGATCCAATCCAACCTGTTTCAATTGGAGAGCAAGAAACAATTACTGAAACAAGACAACTGGAGAGTGACGTAAAAGACGTAGGTGATCTTAAGACTACCTACGTAGTAGATACCGAGCAAACGAAACAAGCGAACATTAAAGATGAAATACACTCGAAAGAACTGTGCCCAAAAGAATCAACTGCCTCACAAATTCTAACTGTTAGTCCCGTCCCGATACAAGTTGCAGAGTCTGTACTTCAAGTGGAACCAAAAGAATCCATGCCGGATTCTCGAGTAACACCGCAGGAAGCGGCTCTTTTTTCGACAATAACGTCTGTCCTCTCGGTAGAAACAGAGGATAAAACGTGTTCAGCACCATCGACGACTGACCCGGCGCAAAGCGAAGAAACATTCAGTTCGAATAAAACCGCAACTGCAGAAAATATCGATACTGCCACTAAATCAAGCGAACCATTAACGGAATCGAAAGAAACTTTGCAAAACATTTCATTATCCGTAGGACAAATTCAACCTCAACTTTCGGAAACGCCTATGTCATTTTCAGGAGATATAAAAACACCAGAGGAATCAATGCAAAAAGAAGGAATCGAAACGGAAGTAGAAGGGAGTGAAGCAGTGAGTGGAACTGGAACTGCAATGGAAGACGAGAAAACTAAAACTTTATCAGCCGGTAAAGCTCCGGTTAGACCCTCGAGGTCGAAGGAAGTGCCTTCGCCGAGTGTATCGAAAACTGCACAGCAAGATGTAAAGAGTGAAGATAAAGCAGTGAAGAAGCCTGTTAAAAAACCAGCAGGAAAATCGATGCCGGCTGAGGAGTCTGCGGAAGCAGCTGAAGGTGATGGCTTCGATAAAAAAACAGAAAAGAAGGTAATGAAAAAGGTGGTGAAGAAAACAAAGTCAAAATCAGAGGAAGGTCTGGATGATGGTGCCGATGACAATAATTCTGGTAGTAAGCAAAAGAAGACTGTGAAAGTTGTTAAGAAAAGTACGAAACCTTCGCAATCTTCTAGTATTGAGACAAGTGTTCCTGAAACTCCATCGTCTAGTACTTCCGATGCAGCACCAGTTCCGCCTAAACGAAAAACAAAACCTGTAACCTCCAAGTCAATTGGTAAAAAATCTGATACTCAGTAACTACGGTTATTGAAGATGACAATAATTTTTTAAATAATTCACCAATGTGAAAGTCTTAAAATTACGTGGATGAAAAGTGATACTCACTAGTCCTTCCTAATTTTTTATATTTTATATTAACAGTTCCACAAATAAGTATCACTCACAGATTTGTTGTTTACTCTGGTTTTTTTGTTTCTGTTAGATAATATATTCCAACATAATGTTTTGCTTCATAATTTATACATTATTTTAACTTTGTGTCAGTACTAAATAAAGCTTTTTTATATTATATATCCAACCTGTTTTTGCATAAATTGGAATGAAACTCATACCTTCCAGGTATAATCTTCTGTAATTAATGGTATAATTAATATATTATTTTAATACATGTCTCGACTAATTTCTTTTTTTTACTCATGTATAAGCTTCAATGTATTTAGTAGCACACATGTGAGTAGCTGTGATTGAATAACTTTAAAAAAATAATATATACAACATGCATATATACATATATTTAACAAAAGTGCAGAACAATATCTTCAGTTCAGGAAGAAATGTAATCACAAATATGGGTTATAAAAAATATACATTTATATATTTTATATGTATCAATTTGTATCTTTGTATACTTATATCGCTGTACACACAATCCTACAACAGTCTGCAATCATACTATAATAAATCACACGAGTTTTAATTTTGAAAACTGTCAGACATATATGGTTTGAATACATTCTTTAAGATCAAAATTATATGATTTTATTTATTACCTAAAATAATAATCCACATTTACTCTTAAAGTTACTAATTTTACATTAAAATATACCCTACTATTGTTTCTTTACTGTATTTCTTTCGCACCCACAAGAAGAAGATTTTTGGGCCGACAGATACCTCTTTGAAAGAGCAAGAACTAAATCTGGTGCTCTGCTCTTCACTTCATTCAAAACAATCTCTTTTGGATATAAAATTGCAAATATAAACGAAAGCATTGGAACTACGATTTTACATCTATCTTGTGACTTCATATGTAGTACCGTAAATTCACATTTCTAGTTAAATGATCCTCTGATCATATCGGAGTCTATCTCCTTAATTACTTATAAATACTCACTATGTAAGCGTTGGGCCAAGGCGAATTGGCAAGTCGGATTTTTTCAATGCTCTTCAAGTAAGGGTAGGAAAGGGAAGTTATCTGTCAATGTCAATTGTCACTGCATTTGCTATATCGCGGAATCGCGGTGAGAAAGTTTGAATTTAAGAAATAAATGTAACACTTCATCTTGAAATTCCAAGTAGTTTGTCATGAAGGATAACAATTATCAACCTTATCAACTAACGAAGGATAGACGTTGCTGAAAGCGTAGGTCCACCGTAGATGATGAAGGATGAAGCGAAGAAACGCGCGACTGGCGCGACGCGCAACATCGAGGATTGATCGATTTCTAATTGGATAACGGGGATTGTAGGAGGATTCCAAATGCACGATCTGCTCAACGAAGGTTTCGCCAGGTTTCACCAGATATGGACGAGACTCCTTAAGTCACAAGATTTTCACTTTTGTTAAATAAAAGTCCAAATTCGCAGTAAAAAAACTTGATTCATTTTCCACCCTCGAAATACAAAACAGTTTCAGTTTTGCGCCTCGCACAAGGAGAGATGTAAGATTTGCGGAATTTCGATTGTAGCGCACGTATAGCGAAGAAAAGTGAAACTAAAGGTCCTGATGTAAAATGTGCCGATTTTTCCGTTCATAGTATGCGGTTCCAGTCTAGAATGTTGTTATGTCTTTGTTTTAAGGAGAATCTAACCGCGCGCGTATAGTTTCAACGGCGTACCAATACACGCGTAATTTTTCCGTATATGTGTATCCTAACTGCAAACTTGCTTTTTAGAATCGCTTTTTAGAATTTTCGGTTTGAAGTTACCTCGTTTTCGAAATTCCTCGTTCTTAAAGTTCCCCGTTTTTGTTTTTTAGAATGTTTTTTTCCGTTTACGACATTGAACGATATTGGTCATTGAAATTGTCTAGATAAAGGCCACGATCTTAAGAATTCAAAAATATGTGGTTCCATAGAAAAACATTAAGTTGACCTTCAAATTTTCCGAGTATCTCTACCTGCAGAAAAATTATGCACACAATTTGTCCCACCAAACCGAACAACTCTTGTTTGAATCATTTCTTTCTATCTCAAAAAATATAAAAGTTATTTAGGTGGCTTACCTTAGGCGATACTCACTGTATATAGATAAATAAATTTTTTATTTCGAAGCATCTGGCACAACAGTGCTCTACTTACATCATTTGCGTAAGGAAAAATGTTGCGTTAAGATAAAAAATTACATAAATTAGTAAAGAAAATGTCAAAAATTACAATTTGCTAAAATGTTAGGCTGAAATGCACAGTTCTCGCTTATCAGAAATTTATGTATATGAATGTATATGTATATATTCCTGCCTGCTAACGGCGCATATTTTGCGATGCGACTACTTTGCAAGGATTTGCAACGCAATTTCATATTGTATTATGTAAAAAGTAGTAACGTACACGAATAAACTCTATTACATATATATCGTACTTAAAATGAGTGTACCAAAAAATAAAGGCATATCAATTCGAGTGAATACGATTATAGTATCTGTTTTGGCAGTATAATTTCCACATCATTCCAAATCAATTACTTAATTAAATATAATAATATCCATGTATTTATGAAATATTCAAAAATTCAACAACGATGCATTTAAATAAATAAATGTAATAATTGCATGTTAAGCAATGGGAATTTGACGCACTCGTTAAATCGAGCATACCAAACATAAAATGAACTTTTCTCTTATCTCACTGTCCTTTTCACATTCCCTGTCTCAAGAAGGAAAAAGGAGAAAAAGGAAGCAAATAGATTGATGTGAGCGTGAGCCTGTAATAACGTGTGCTTCTAGTATGCTCCATTTTAATAATAATAGTTCTATAATTGTAATTCCTGTTCACGAAGACGATGATGATAAAGACGACAATAACGACATGGAATAGAAAAATGCATAATGGAAATATGAGCGAAAAATGCATTGAAAGCAAGTAGCAAAATAATACGAAACGATTGTAAAGTAAATATCGATCTAAAAATAGGGAAAGTAAGTATCAATTTGATACAGAGCTGCCAACGAAAACGTAACGTTTCAAAAATGAATCCATTGGTTCGTAAAAGAATAAAGAAATGTCTTTCATTCCGAGAAGTGTAGCACGATGCAGCATCGTGACTACAAATGGATGAAGAAAAAACCGCTAATTCCACAATACACGATACACTTAAACATTCATCACGTGATTTCACATAATTCGTTCGCTTCGTTTAGTAATCTCTCCGCGGACGCGATGCGATGGACTAATTTAAGCTTAATTATGTTTCTTAGCTTAACGTCGACAAATTTCGAAGGATAAGACACAACGATCGTTAATTAACGATACAGAATTTCGAGGAGAGAACGAAACGATCACGATACCGTATCTTGTATCCGTAAGAACGAATCGGAGCGGATCGTGACCGAAATTGAAAGGCGTACGATATACGTATATGTATACGTCGAAGACAAAGATCGAGGGAGCGTTTTAAGCCAGAAACAAAGATGCCTCATATGAAACGCGTAGTCCGAGCCGAGTCGCTTGTCAGATTACGCGCGCGTATATACCTTCGCAGTTGCGTCTTTTTTCATCACGAAAAAAGGGATCAAGCTGAAAGGGTTAAAATTTACAACTCTTCTGTTCCCTCTTCTTTGTCTGAACGTTTCATAGAGAGAAAAATTTCAAAAAGGTCTGTGGGGGAATCGGTACGTGTAGAGAGGCTCGATCGACGTCCGCCAGTTTCTCTTGAAACGCTGGATCTTGATCGGCGATACAGGGATGTCCGAGCGATCGCCAGAATAAGCATCGGCAATTGCGGCACAGTTGAATCATCTCAGCGTACTCTTCCCGTAGACCAAACGATCTGCTCGAACAATAAACAGTACAGATAAATATTATAATTACAAATGAACACTTGGGTCATTGTTTAATGTTATCACCTTCGAGCGATAGTAAAAATATTTTTCCAATCCTTTCCAGGATTTTGTTTCCTAGTAGTGGCTATTTGTTGAGGCGTGAAGTGGTACTGGGCCAACTCCCGCCAGATTCTCTGTTCCTGCGCGAGAACAGCTAGGTATTCGCAGGCTTCCGAAGACGCTTCGATGTCTCGCGGATCACTGAGACGAAGGAGCACCTCCCGGCGACACTCCGCGGGCAAATCCGACCACTGCGGCTGCTGTTCTTCATCCGGCTGAAACGGAAACAGCAACAACAGCGAACACGCGATACCTTGTCTCTCCTCGTTCTCGCTACGCGCTTTCATACCTGAGTTATGGTGATAGAAGAGGCGATTTGCAAGATCCTCTCCAGGGCGGCTTTGTGTTTCTCCCACAAGATCACGGATCCTAGTGGTCTACCACCCCAACAGCAACTCGCGCTGAAAGCTCGTACTCTTTCGATTAGCCGTCGGAGTCTCCCGGTTTGTTGCTGTGACAACGATACTGTCGAGCATACGGTAAAAGTACATGTCATAAACGCGCGATTGAGTCAACAGCTTCGAGAATCGTTTACCTTCAAGCGCGACTTCCTCCAACATATTGAACAGGACTCGTTGAGCGCATCCGCTCAGACCACCCATTCTATGACTGACCAGAAGATCCAATAAACGTACAATATAATTAAAACGTCGGCAATCGTGCACCGCAGATAGAAAGTCTAGTCTTTTTAGCGCGTCGCTCAAACCGTTGAAGCCAGCGATCTGAAAATTTAAGAACGATTACGCCGCCGTCGCATTCGTTTTGCACGTACTCTTGGACAAATTTCATTTTCACGCTTTTTTCGTGATGTTAACGCGAAGGTTAAATATAAACACGGATGGAGCAAGTCACTCACCTCGCGCGTGCATTTCAGCGTGATGCGGCAATGCGGCTGAACGACGTTTTCTAAAATTATACGGAATTGCGTTATTAGTCGAAGAGATAGTTATCAAAAATTTCATCAGGCCTCATCTGCTCCTCTAATATTAATTAAACTAATATTAATTTATAAAATAAAATAAAGAGTCATGTTTGTGCATTTACGTGCTACTTGCCTTTCTTTTTGTCCTTCTCTTTCTTATCGAGCGCATCTTTGTCGCCGCTGCAAAAGACAAAGTAAAATGATAATACCATCGTTAATTGTTATCATGAAACCATCAACAAGCGCATTCTTATATTAAGTCTACAGCCACACGAACGTTCCAATGTCCGTCCTAGCGTTATATTATTTTATACAGTAGAATCGATCAACATTCAAAAATTGCTACAATGTTCGTCGAACGTTCGATACAAACGGCGTTGCATTATTAATTTTCTACTAGGGCTCGTCGTCACACGTCCGTTGAATCTAATAATCATTTTATTAACATTAGAAATATCGAATTTAGTTCTGCAGTTGCACAAACTTGAAAAATTTACGGATAGGCGAAAATCAACGTTCGCGTGAGAGTAGCGTCAGGTTGATCGTACGTAATTTATTCACGAATGCATGAGAAACGCTCGCAATCTGCATGGTATGGTATTCGGTACTTCGGATGTCGAGCGCAACAGACGACACTGGAACTTGCGAAAGATCATCGCGAGAAAGACCTTGCACTAATGCGCTTACGCGACGCAAGGGGAGAAACCTTGCGTTACAGTAATCCGTAACATTATATAACTATCGGTAATATGTGTGTACTCTGTTCGTGAAATGAATCGTGTAGCAGGTACACGTACGCGCGATCAATTCTATTTATCCTACTATTCGTAAGCAATACGAAAAAATAAGAAATTTACTCGTGTCTCCTCTCGTTCATTCCGTTCTGCAAAACTACAATAACGGAAACGAAGACGTGTATGTAAATTATTTTACATTGTTAATACTATTCGCTGCTACTATAAACTGATAAATATACTATATATTCTCTTAAATGTGTGTACGTATTCTTATACCGAGGTTCTGGCATAGAACTCATACTACTGGCTCATACTACTACAAATAATCGAATTTGTTCGATTCATCACCTTCTTAGAAACCATAGGGAATTAGATTACAAACTGGAAAGTTTACTGAGAAAAGTGCGAATAATTTGGAAATTCAATTCGCCGTAATCATAGGCCTCGCGACCTCAAAACACTTGATACTGGAACTCTTAAGTTTTCGAACATGAACAAAGTGATCGTGCTGAATGTATCGGAAGAATTCAGAGATTCGAAAGGAGATTTGCGAAATTAGTGCAGGTCGCTTTAGCTAGGTCACGACCTACTTCTATGACCTCAAACGAGAACGACAGGAGCTTAATTGTATCTATTTGTGATTGTATTATTTTTCTTCAGCAATTTAATGAAAAACACATTAAAGAAATCATTAAGATACCACTAAAATAATACTGTTACAAACTGAAGACTACGTGCGATAATTTTTATGAAGAAAAGTTCAGATTTTATACACGACTGCTAAAATCCTTAACAAGCGTAAGCAGTCAAAGAATGGACGAAGCGGATCGGTTCTTTTTGCAAAGTGCGCGAAAGCGTGGCTGCTCCGTAACAATTACACAAATCTCTTCATCTGTCTATCCGTCTGCCTCGATCTCTTTCTATTATCTCCGTTGCATGAGCTTTCACGACTTGCGGCGGCAGTGCTTAACTCGCGAACGAACACGAGGACGCGTTCAAACTCATTGTTGTATGTGTACTTGTCTGCCGACCAAGACAAAAGGGAAAACGCACAAGGCGTAAATGCGTACGTCCGTGTATTGTGCTCGTACGTAAAGCCGGGTATTCATCTGAGCACGAATGCGAACGAGGCAAGGCGAGGCCGAATGAGCATACATATGTGGACGTGTAACCGAGGCGCGGCAAACTACATTCGGCTGTTCGCCGCACAGACTGAGGCATTCGGGACCCGAGCCGATCGGAGTCGGTACTTCAAAGAAAAATTTGGTTACGTATGGACGGCATTCGTGTACGTTCCACGTACCTTGCCTATCTCGCTGGATCATCGTTCACTGCGTTCGCTGTGGATCACTGTCTCGTTCGTTGCCTCGGCAGACTTCGTTTGCGAAGAAAAATTTTACAAACGAGACAAAACGAGGCATTTGTTCGGACTCGCCTTGCCTCGTTCGCATTCGTGCTCAGATGAATACCCGGCTTAATGTAGCGACTCAAACGAACGCGCAATATGCATTCGAGCAAATATACATACATATACATATCGTATATGATCGAAGAGCCAAAGCTTTGTCGTTATAAAGATTCGAATCAAGAGGAACTGGGAGAAAAATATTCTGCGTATCATACGCTTTCGTCTTGCGAGCAAAATCCTGCTGCACTGCTTTTGGAATGAAGCAAGAATCCACGTAGAACAACGCAGACAGGCTATTTTTGGCATTATGTTCGTACTGCCATCGAGGAATAAGATAACTTATTGTTAGAATATTTACCAACAGACTTGAAAACTTTGTGTCTTATTCGATTCTCTTCACGTTGATGATAAAAATCAGTATGAAATTGTGGATATAGTACATTTCGTCGAAAATCACACAGATTTTATGCACGATTCAATCATACTACAAAAGAACGTATCTACAAAGCACGGCTGATATCAGATCATAGATTGTAAAAGGATTTAAATTCTGTTATGCGACGAGGTCTGCTCCGTCGCTTTTTCCTTGATAGGGAAAGGAAAATCCATGAAAATTTGATTTCAAGCAATTGTTACTCTTTGTATTTCATTCATTTGGTTAGAGGAAATATACTGTCAATTTAATTGTATGTAACGAGTAGACGAAACGCGCGATTGTAAAGTTCACGATAGTAAACAAACCAACAACTGTCATTCGATCGATGTAACAGCTGTGAGACAGATGGAACAGAATCCGGAAAACGATTAGTTTTGCACGTTCGAAAGCAAAGAATAGCGGTGGGAATGTAACAAAAAAAAAAAAAAAAGGGAAGAGCGAAAGTCGACGTTGGTGTTACTTACCGAAGTAGAAGAGAAAGTGTTTTATTGTTGGCGCACTCGAGGATTTTCTTTTTTTCCCAACCCTCGACAGTTTTCACCCATTCTTCTCCAGGACTGCGCCAATCCTTCGATATGAATGGCATCGTTCGCGAAGGAACTGCGCGAGACGGTTAGCTCGTTTGCGCACGCAAACCAGCCGTGCCTTTGATTGACGATATGAAATATTACGGAACGCACCTCACTGTTTCACGGACGCCCAATGTTTGCTCGCAAAACAGCTCAGACAGTTCAGTTTACTTCGCGGCTGCGATCGACCGCGCATGGCTTTGTTTTACTGACGTCACTCATGTATCAGCTGTGCGACTGACGGACCAGTTCACTTTCGACAAGAATTCCGCCATGTTGAAATTTACGCAGTTGCACATGCGTGATTCAGTGGTATAGAAAGAACACGATATTTAAGTAATAAGTATTCGTTGGATTCTTTATCAATTACGGGAGATCTCTTGTTTAGCTTTTATTAATTGTCTATAAAACTGAAACTGTACAAACATGCGTAACAACGCACATGTCTTTAGTTATTACAAAAAATATATACATACAATTACAATGACAATTATTTTCATAATAAGTATTATTTTATACTCATGTCTTTAACTTTTTCATTTATTTCAGAGGTCAGATTTGTAGGTACTGATTCTTTTTCTTCTTTTTCTTCCTCTTGTTCTTCTTCTTCTGTTTCTGAATCCGTTGGAGGAAAATCCGAGATAGCTATTATTAAATCAAACCAGTATCATTAATAACCAAATGATAAATATGTGTCTGTCTATTCATTGTTAATTAAAAATTTAAACGTATGACAATTACCCTGTCTATTTAACCTTTCCTCTCGCGCATCGGCCAGGAATTTTTCTTGTACGGCTATAATTTCTTCCGAATTTTTACAAAGCGAATAACTTTCTAATAATTCACTGTTTAATTCTACAAATGAGTGACCCCAAGAGAATTTCCCAAGATACAAGTTTGCTTCTTCAGGATATCCTGTTATAATTAAAGTAGCTGCTATAGCTTCTACGCAACTTAATTGACAAGGTTTGCCATAATTTATCGGATTTGCAGCGACTAGAAATGGTAATAGGCGAGGATTGGGAGTTCTTATTCGATTAAATGGGGTTTCATCCAAACGTGCCCAACTGCAATCAACCACTGCGCAACCAAATTCCCGTACAATATCACGATCTGTTGGACTTACACACTGAAACATAATATTTCAGTGTAAAATATAAAAACTAAATATATTTCTTGGATAGTGTGAATCGTGTATTCCATACCTTTTGACCAACTGGTGTCAGAACTAATCCCGCGAACCGAGTTCCTAACCGTAATATTTTTACTAAACCATGTCTAACTAATTTTCGACCGGAACATTTTTTGGGATCGCACTGTTCAAGATCCCACATAGCAACCGGGAAGGGGACGAACAATTCCGTTTTCTCTTTCGCGTTCTTCTCTTCATCTGAAAATCGAAACTGTTCATTTTCTCGTAACTGTATAACTGAAATTTTATTCTAACCTGATCCCATGTCCTCTTTGTCCGATTTGTCTCTCTCTTGACGATATTTTTCTTCTTTTCCAAGGACATGCCGCTGTCTCCTCGTTACCAAACTATTTTTATTCTTTTTCCCGCGTGGCGACATTTACGAAACTTACGATTAGAAACTTTTCGTAATATGTATTTTCTTGTATACGAGCACGACGTGCTTACAGGACGGTTTCACTTTAAATTTTCTTGCCAACCCCCGAGTTCAAATCGCTTATAACTTATAACTGAATCATAAATAATGTACACATTATACATATATATGTATATGTATGAACGCTACTAGCGTGTCAACCAATTAAACAGGACTATTTCATGTAATAAATAAAACATATTTTCGAACATATATACAGTCTTATAAAAAATTAATCTCTCTATATAAAGGTAAAAAAATTAATCAAATTTGAGTTGAAATTAATATTTAGTTGTTGTATTCTTATCAAAATAAGTAGGAAAATCGGTGAGGATTGTCATAGTAATCGGTGAGGATGTCAATAGTTAGAAAGAGGACAAAACGAACAGAAATGAACTATACAATCAAGTAATACTATCTTACACTACTGATTAAACAATAGAATGAGAATCCAGTACAAGAATTTATTTTGATTCTGTATATTTTACAAAATAGCAGATCTTAATCTGTTTATCTTTTATATGATCAATTTCACTTTCATATTAATAGGAGTAGAAAATCAATTCTTTCTTACAGAAAATAAAAAGTTTATTACATTTGTAATATATCATTCATTTGAATAATAAGCTTAACACACGTTAATAATGTCTTCACACTCTATCTCCTAGTAAGGATATCAGCGTTGCCATTTCTTTGTAAGCAGACTCATCTATAAAAAGTTTTCCTGCGATTAAGTGGCTTACTAAATAAATGAAGTTTATTAGTTGATACACACAGTCACTCACAATAATAAAAGTTATACAGACTAAATTTCTTATTTCATATCATAATTGTAACAATTTAAAATCTTACAATCTGAAATTCTATTATGAATGACTGTACGTAAATGAAATATATACCTACCGAATTCATTCGATATTTCAGGAGGAAATATTATGTATCTGCTACAATTCATTGTAGTTCTCGATTGAAGAATACCATGCACTTCAATGTAACCTTCGACATTCCCATCAATAGGTTCCGGTATAGTTACATTTATAGCTCCGCCATCGGTTGATAGTATTTCTAAATTTTTACCGTTCGAACTTTTCTGTTAATAAAATTCTAAATTAGTACAAACACTTGTGTTTTCGTTTCGTCGATACGAATAAAACTTACGTTTCTAACAGTCCCAAGTAGTATCACTTCTTTACCGATGTATTTATTTGTTAATTGTGAAGTGATTCGTGGTTTCTTGATCAGAGCTTGGGCACACATCTTAACCTCCTTTATATTAAATATTCCTTCTTGTGGTTTTAAGAATTCCTTTTCGATCGTTCTAGCTTTTAAACAAATGATTCTTTGACGCAAAATGCACACCTGTATGTAAGCATTTACGTCACTGTCTTTCTTTTATCTTTCTTCGCTCTCTTATACTTTTGTTTTTGGAAGACACCGGGCGGGAACGGCGGGAACGGCGGGAATTGTCACTGTTGTCAGAATGTAAGTGAGAGCGAGAGCTGTGAAATGTTTCACAAGACGGAAGGGGACAGCAGGCCCCGAGGAGGGCCCCAACAGTCGATATGCACGGTGAAAACAAGAAATGACAACAGCCAAAACTAAAAATTAAAAAGAAAAGCAACTAAGACAATCGTATCAAGAAATAAATTTCTAAATTTCGACTGTGGACGCTTATAATAACGCAACAGTAGCCGTCGGGCAAGCGCATATTCAAATTTGCTATCTCGTCTCTTGATGTAAGATACAAAATTATACGGAGAAAACTACACCCAATTTTGTAGATGCTGGAAGTGCCAGAGTGCCACTATGCTACGCTCCTGAAACGCTGTTAGAGTGGATAACAAGTGGCTGTTCTATTCTCAATCGTTCCCAATCGTTCCGCGGAACAACAAATCTTTTAGAGAACGCTGATTCTTTAAACATGTGTTTAACAAGGTTTTGATTCGAACATCGGGATGTTCCGTTCATTCTTACGTATATCTTAAATTCAAGGTAAGTCTACTTCTCGTTCTACCTTTCGTGTTGATATCGAATAGTTTTCAATATGCATTATTAAAATTGTCATTTCGTAATCGTACATGAAAATAGTAGCTGGTTGATGCGTACCTGTGTCATTCAATATCTCTACACTTTTTACTTGATATTAATTATGCTTCAATATTCACGCTGCTTAAGGACTATGGAACCAGGTACTTTCTCAAAAGAAATAAATGGTTCACTGCTTCATATGGTTTCACGCATACGTTCAAACACGATGTATAAACGATTAAAATGATTATTTAACAATTAACGGACAGTTGTTTGTCTCTTCGTTTAGTATATATACCCTCGTTTATTATCTAATGTATGCACTTTGCACAATTTTCATAGGCACATAATAAGTTCATACATTTAGCAGCAGTATACTGTGTTTATAAATTACGATTTATTACATATTCTTCTCCTTTAACTGTCTTTATTAATGTTTAAACGGCTACTGTTTCTACTTTACAAGAAAGCACAAGGAAAGAAACAATTGTAAAGGTAGCAGGTTGGTTAAGAGGGATTTGGGAAATGAGACGTCAAACTGGCCCCGTTCAACAATGGATAGATTCAATACCGTCGCCTATTAAGTCTAATTTTGCTATAAAGAATGAATATCAAGAAGATAGGACAGAGACAGCCGGTGGTTCATTGGAACCGACACAGCCTAAGGACATTCCATATCCCATGGGAACAAAACAGCCAATTATGACTATATCCGCGCCTATTAATGTTCCTACTACAACGACAATTAATACACCAGGCCTACCTAGGTATTATTCAGATGTAAAACTAATATACAATAAGCTTTTAAACTGGACACCTAAAGTGGTCTGTTTCTCATAGCTCATTGCCTCATAGGCTGGTTCGAGATCCTAGTTTACAGTCTGACAGTAGTCACTGTAGCAGTGTAGAAAGCCTATTAGAATTAAGGAGGGCGGATCCAGAAGCAATTTTACTTGGCCTCGGTTTCGGTGGTTGCTCGAGCAGCCCGCAGGAAAATGGTTCCCTTTCTCGTATACCAAAAAGATTTTTGCAGCCATCGAAATTAAAAGGCATAGCTATTAACGACTTCATGAAGCAACAGCAAGAAACTAGCGAATCTATTGACTCCGTATCATTAGGATATAGAGGTTTGACAGGTAAGACAAAGAATCTTGGTCATTAAAACAAACATAATAAAATATTGAATCAGAGATGAGCTGTAGCTTTGAACTCTAGTATATAGGAGCAGATAGGAATAAACTTTGTAAAGATGTTATCGTTGGTTAAATAGTGTTATACACACAGTAATTTTATAGGAAGTGATGACACATTATCTGTGTCTAGACTTCGTCCACATCGCAGACATTCTGGACCGATTAATGTTGTAAGTCCTGTGACAGTTAGGTTTCTCAAATTTTTCCTGAGTTTCAAGCAACGTTTACTTAAATTCCGCATTAACAATACGTATTCGTACGTGTATTTTATACATATTGTTTAAAATGTCCTTTGTTAATATTCTGTTTTAAGACTCGTACTAAGCTTATAGATTGTTTTGCATATTATTTATGAATAATCCGAAAATATAATATGCATGAAGTAAATGTATTATTGTGAAGGCATTTAATATTTTGCATTGAAATAAGTTGTTTTGTAACAGATGTGAAACAATTATCATTATTTAAATTATAGTATCAATAAAACGTTTTATGTTTGCAACATATTTAGTTATATGAAATTATGTGGCTTTTACATCATAATTTGCACACTTTTCGTCGACCGTTGTTTTTCTCGTTTATACTCAGTTCTAATATCTATTATTATTATTATTATTATTATTATTATTATTATTATTATTATTATTATTATTATTATTAATGTCGTTTAATTAGAGTGTATTAACGATATTTACTTGGTAACACGATGAGTAATCAATTTTTTATTTGATGTAAAAGGTTCGCCGTACGTAGCACCATCAGAAATTGTACAAAAAATTATGCAACGTTTACGCGAACATGAAAGCCATGAACACGATCCGTACGCAATGTACAATTCGTACGAACAATACAGCCCGGTACATTGTAGCAGTACGCAGTCTGTACTATCTCCCGATAATAGACAATTTTTAGAACAACCACGTTCTAAAAGTCCTGATATGCGTAACAAACGTATGATAATTGGTAAGAATTAATCAATTCTACCGGTTCAATTTCATAAAAATTTTACAGCCGACACGTTAGAACGGAATCTATAATATTTCCAGGACAAAAATCGTTCGCATTTGGACATGACGGTGATTTAATCGAAATCCATCCATCTGATACGAAAACATCGTTTGAAAGTGACACTAGGAATGATTATAACACCATTTCGCAAGTATCTAATATTGTAACAGATAAAATATTTGAGCCTACTACAATTCAAAAAGCGGAGGGAACAATACGAAAAAGACTATCATTTTATGACAGCACGGATGAATTCGATGACAGTGATGTTCAATCACCAACGAACAATGAAATGGACAATGAAAATATAAACACGTCGAATAAAAGATCTGATAAGAATATTAACTGCGAAGGTGAAGTTTTATCCTACGCGGTTACAGAAAATACATTTGACATTCGCAGAGCGAGTGATGGATTTTGTAACACGAAGCATGAGAAGGAGTTTTTGGTTCACGAACGAAGACATAGCGATGGCTTTGTCCAAAAGCACGATAAAGAGTCTGTTCTAACTCGGAGAAGAAAAACTTTGAAACGGCAGACTAGAGTAAGTGATTTGGATGCAATACCAAATGCTTATACGTCAGACGCTGTGCAACATAACGTTGAATCGGAATATAACTTGGAGAAAGATTTGCAGAGCACGTTCGTGGACAACAGAGTGAAGTTAAATAGAGACATTGCGGAAATGACAGAATCAAAATGTGAAGTTGAAAATTCCCATATGGAAAAATGTTTTGGAGAAAAACAGAACAGTCTGGGACCGATGGATGATAGTTTAAGCAAAGTAAAACAAGATTCAGATAAGGGTAAATGTTGTGTCGGAGAGGTTCAGTCCGAAGATCAATCGTGCGAAGATAAGGAGGGACAGACTACTTGTTGCTGCCGTTCTGACAGTAAAAAGTATTGGAAGAAAATGGAGAAAATTATTCAAGAAAATAAGAATCTGGAAAGCATGGTGACAAAAAGTAGGAGAGAAATGGCAGAAATCCGAGAGATGTTAAGTAGCGTGTTATCTGTACGCTTAGAACCCGGATTTTAATTCCAATCAATTTAAATGACATATCGCGTTTACTATAATATACATA